TTTGCCCGTGCTCGTATCTTGGCCTTCTTAGACTCCTCGATAGATCATATTCGCCTTGATGGGTGGAGAAGTCACAGATCGGATACCCCCGGCAGTCCGTACGTCGTTGGGTACATTTCCCTCATCGATATGCATCTTAATGATATGTATTCAGATTCCTCTCAAAGCTAGGGCCGACTCTGCTTGCTACTCAATTCCCCTCCGCGCGTACCCGTGTCAAAGGGAGTGGTTTCACAAGTACCTCAGCTGGTGAGAAGGTCAAGGCCGATTTCATCTGACAGTATGCCTATGAGCCCTGCTAGACCGACTCACTTCGTTTCGAAGTCAGGCAATCAGAACCTATGTCTGGATATGAAACTGGTGGGGTTGACGGCGGAAAGGTGACCGACACTTGACGGTAAGGCCAGGAGAAGTGTGGCCCATGTCCAATTCTGCTGTGTGGTGTGATATCGATGATGAAGGATCGTATGCTCACTACCCAGCTCTTTCATTACGGTAGCGCTGCGCTGCTAACGCCAGAAATCCACCCGATTTTGCCCGGGATTTCACGATCGATTGCCCGCGCTTGGGCGTCTCGAGCCTTTTCTTCTTTAGTGAAGTTGTCGACCGACGCACTTGCGTCAATCACGAAATTATTCAAGACATAATTACAACATCGTTGAATATTGCGTCGTCTCCATTATGCCATGTTCATACGATATTCACTTTTTCAAGGAAGCGTGGCGTAGACGCCGATACTGTTGGCTGCCTCGAAGTCGCAAGGTACCTCGTATATCTACGAGCGGCGTCGGCTATCAGGATGTCCAGATCGAGAACACAGCGTACCAGCGCTCATACTCCGATCTACTGCACAGGGTGTCGATGACTGTTTCGAGCGTTGGCTCCAGAACCTACGGAGCGTCACGAATGTCCTTCGCAGCTACGAGACCCAAACAATGCGCAAGAAGAAGGATCTCGGCATAAGTTTTCTCAGTTAGTAATTCCTCTATTTCTCGCCAGTTACTCACTGTAGCACACTCCATAGGCTCGCCAAGAAAGCCCCCATTATCTACCATCCGGGTGAGTCTCAGTCAGGCTGCGAACATTAGCAACCAACTCTACCTGTGTTAGCTGGGATTGCAATACATAGCATTCCTAATTGAAATACTTGCCACGACGCCGTTCGTTCTTTATTATCATATCCCAGAGTGGGTCGCCACTTACGTGCAAATCGCTGATGAAGCCTATAGCATCTCATTTCTAGGGTCAAATCCCCTGCTTCAGCCAAAGTAAGCGGGCCGAGTCCTTCATCAAAGTCGATAATGCGACCATCGTCGGTATGTTATCGTCCCGGTTGGGATCCCACGTTAACACATTTCTATCATGCGGTACCCAGTAGCAAAGAGGCTCTCGTACGACGTCTAGCTAGCTCTGCGAAGTTTCTGGAAATCGGCGCAAGATATATGGTTCCGTGGTATGTTTTCAGTGCGTGAGATGTCAGAATCGCGAGTTTGGTGATCAAGTTACTTTGTAGAACTATTGGGCCGACTTCAGCTTTCCTTTCGTGTTCCTCCAAAAACAGAGGCCCCGTTCCGAGCCATCTTTGACTTTTTTTATTGCTCCATTCCCAAATACGCAGCACGCAGCTGTAACGTCTGCATGTCAATCATTGGAATGTAAGCACCCGCTTTATTCTGCTTTATACTATGCTGGCTTGGTCAGTTCAGGTCCCTGGTCCCTGACATTGAGAGATGATAGCGAATCTCTCCGACGGGCAAGAAATGGACGGACCTTGGTCATCTGTATAGGTCTTATCGCGTATCGCAGTCGCCTATGCAATACCGTGGTTTGCTTTCCCTGAGCTTATTCTGTTCTTGCGAACGATTTAGCTCCTACGATGCGACTAATAATCATGTTAGTACCCCAGGTTGGGTACATTGCCATTGTCTGCAACACTCTCATAGCCGGTGAGTGACCGCACCGAGCATGAGAAACACCCTGAAGATGATTGGCTCTGCGTTGGATAATTCAATGGGCCGCTGTATTCAATGAAACCAGCAGGTGCCCCTCCTCCTCTCCACATCAACGTCGAAGCCTCTTTGACGTTAAATATCTCACGATGACCATCACCTGGTCGTGACACCCGAGCTTGTTTACTGTAGACCCCGATCGGCCTCGTGCTCCGAAAATAGCTGCCTACTGAGTCACATTGCTCATACCGAAGCCTTGGCACACATTAATGTCGCTGGGACTTGGACCGAATGATGATGAGACATTCAGCTTACGTCCTACCACAAAGTAGTCCAATGTCCCACCGAGCCTATCAAACACCAAAACGGAACAATGCACAATGAAATTTGCTTCGGCAATCCATCACGACTTCGCCAACGGAATGCCACATTCCAGCATCTCTGCCGGAAAGGCACAGTGGGCGCTCGCTGCCTTCAAATCCGATGAGTGTTGACTCCTTTATGTTTCTTGAAGTATCTCATTTATTTCGAACCCTAGTTTCGGACCCGGGGGCGGTTGTACTTAAAAATATCCCCACCATCAAGCATTTCCGCCGCGTTGGGCAGACTAGCGTACCCATCATATAACCAACTCCCGCGGACGCCGTTCACGTACCCAACGCTCCGGTCGTACACACACCCGTTCTCACCCTCGACCAATTATGCGAAAACCAATCGCCTGGCAGGACGGTGCTGAATAACCATCGCATCAGTATTTTGTTTGACTCAATGAAAGGTATAAAAGGGGGCAGCCATTGCCTCTATCTTCCAAGACCTAACGTCTTACTGCAGTCGCATTCCTACTTCGTAATGACCATCGCATCACTTTCCGCGCTCGTCCTTGCCTTCGCTGCGACTGTCCAAGTTGCTCAAGGTAACACCCTCCCCGTAGCCACTGCGTCCTTCCCTGCTGATTTGTCCTCCACGACGTGCTTCAGCGGTCTCTTTGCCTCAGAAACGTGCAACTTGTGCTGGCGGCCAAGTTACCGCCAATGCAGCCTGTTGCGTTCTCTTCCCGCTCATGGAAGACCTACAGAAGAACTTGTTTGACGACGGCGCATGCGGCGAAGATGTAAGCTCGCGCCATTCGCCACCGCTCTGGCTCATTGCTATCCATTCCAGGCCCATGAAGCCCTTCGCCTGACCTTCCACGATGCAATTGGATTCTCTCCTTCTAGGGGGTAGGTGCTAGCCGTTCGCTCGTTTTCCATCCCTGAAACTGATTTATCGCGAACAGTGTCATGGGAGGCGCCGATGGCTCTGTCATCACGTTCTCCGACACTGAGGTTAATTTTCCAGCTAACCTTGGTATCGATGAGATCGTTGAGGCTGAGAAACCGTTCCTCGCAAGGCATAACATCTCCGCGGGCGACTTGTATGTCATCCCCTCGTTCTAAGGATTGTTACTCACTAATACTCACACCTTTCCTTAGGGTTCATTTTGCTGGTACTCTCGGGGTCAGTAACTGCCCTGGTGCTCCACAAAATCTCTCGTTCTTCTTGGGTCGTCCTCCTGCCAAAGCCGCCTCGCCGATCGGATTAGTGCCTGAACCATTCGGTAGACAACCGTGTTCGACTTTCGCCGCAAACTGCTAACGTTCTTGAATAGACACCATCACAGATATTCTAGCCCGAATGGATGACGCTGGCTTTGTCTCCGTCGAGGTTGTCTGGCTCCTTTCCGCGTACGCCTGAGACCATCCACCCCAAGCTATACATCTGACTCATAGCCGATAGTCACTCCGTTGCCGCAGCTGATCATGTTGACGAAAGCGTAAGTCCATAGACTTTCAGTCAGTATGCTTGAAATTGACTTGATTCCTTTCAAGATTCCCGGGTGAGTTAGGAACTATGTGTGCTCACACCTCATGGCTTACAAACGTTTAGAACGCCGTTCGACTCAACACCAAATCTCTTTGACTCGCAAATCTTCATCGAGACTCAACTCCGTGGAATTTCGTTCCCAGGGTAATCAATACCGCCGCTCCCCAATCCACGTACATATTGCTCACTTGTTGAGTAGCACCGGAGGCAATCATGGTGAAGTCCAATCTCCGCTTAGGGGTGAAATGAGACTCCAGTCCGATCACTTGGTAAGTCTTCAGACTGTATCCGAGTAGCAATTTCACATATGCGATGGTTTGACAGTTCGCGCGAGGTACTAAAATCAATCATTGCTGATTATATTTCCATACTAAGACATTGCAATGTACTAGACGATAGGACATCTTGCGAATGGCAATCCATGACTAGTAAGTACGGTTTGATCGTCTACCTTTTGTCTCTGAAGCTCACTGCCAACGATAATTAGATGATCAGCAAAAGATCCAAGACCGATTCTCTGACACACTGTTCAAGATGTCGATGCTCGGACAAAACCAGGACGCTATGATTGATTGCTCCGATGTCATCCCCGTCCCCGCTGCTCTCGTTACCAAGCCCCATCTCCCTGCCGGCAAGGTCAGGACCGATGTTGAACAGGCCGTACGTTATACGTCGCATTGTAGACCTCTCAATGGTGCTAATCCTTCCCCATAGTGCGCCACCGACGCCTTCCCAGCTCTCGCTGCTGACCCTGGTGAGTGAACGAGCAATGTGCACATCGAAAGGCCACTGAGACGTTGATCCTCTACCAGGCCCAGTCACCTCTGTTCCTCGCGTGTAAGTACCAAACAACGTTGTGGTCGTGTATTGATGCTAATGAACACCCCAGGCCACCTGCGTAAGCAAAGTGCGAAAGGGCTTTTCATCAGTTTCGTCTTCATTTTTATCTTTACTGTCGATCGTTCGAGCCCCAGAAACTTCTTCAGAATGTACGAGTATGTAATTGTAGGAAACATGATGTTGAAATGAGATTCCTGTACCATAGCAGGCAGCGAAACTGTTGGCCATAGGGCGTCCAATCTCCCATCACAGCATCCGCTGCCATCTGAAGAGGGACCCGATTGTCCGATCCAAGATCGGAGAAAATGTCGGCGCACCAGAGTCAACTTTAGATTTTTAGACGACATAACATCGATGGTGAAACGGTATCATGCTTGCCTTCCAAGAAAATTGATCCTTAGCAAGCGGCACGGGTTCGACTCCCGTTCGATGTACTGTTCGCGGGTTGGATAACGACCTAAAGTCAACGTTTTTTCACCGATGAAACCCCTCGGCTTGAAGCCTGATTCCTGCCTTTTGCCTGCCTTTTCGATTGAGGTCACTTGCTGAGAAATCCAAGCAAATGTTCCTGGAAGTAAAACCTTCGGGGGCCGGAACTGTGGCGTGGGATCCACCATTTCGTTCGCTCTCACAGAGTGATATAACCTGGTACATGATGCACGCCATCGAGCTCAATTCCAAGGAACCTCACAGTGTCGCGCAGGGAAGTCGTATCGTACAAGATATTACTTTAGCATAACCACGTCGATGGCCCGCAATGAATCCAAGAGGCATCCTCGATATTACAACACTCCAACAACTCAATAACGTGGAACGAAGTTGGAATGGGGAACACTGTGTGGAGGCGAATCATATCTAATGATGTGTGGGATTTGCCATCGCATAAAGGTTTGTAAGGTGAGTAGCGCTGTCGCCAAGCTAAACTCTGAACACACGATTATCTGATTTCTCATTCATGCTAAAGATAGCGCGGCCTCGTCCAGACTTTTGGCACATCTGTGGCCATTCCTACGATTCCGCAAGCCTACGGAGCCGTTCCAAGGCTTGGCATCGCTTCGGAGGTGATTCACAAAATGATGTCGGTCAGACGCTCGCGTCTTCATTTTCACGCGTATGTTTCAATTTTCCGTTGCAGCTCGTTGGCGTAGGCTTGGCGTGTTCTTCGGAAACTCCGCGTATTGCGACTCTACGCTCCTCCCGCGAAACCTACTCCCACCACGTCGCCTTTCGGTACCTGAAGACTTCACAACCAGGGTATGCGCGCCATGAGGTGTCATGGCTTGGCTGAGTATTCTTACCAATCTCATTCAGTACTCATCTCACGAACAACAGCTTTCGTGGCACGTTTGCTCATGCCCCTGGTGACCTGAATACACCTTCGACCATCCGCGCTCCAAACATCTTTGCTCCGGGCCTGTCGTTCCCGCTTCCTACTGCCTTGTTGACTACCGCCCGCCTGCCGGCCGAGCGCCTGATTGAACTTCCGTTGAGCAGGTCGTCGTTTATCAGATTGCAATCCGATTGATTTTTCCTTCAACAATGTAAGTTGGAAATCCCGCTCTAACTGCGACGTCCGCTAAGGTGTCACGCAGCTGAACCTGCTAGGTTTTCGCTCGACACGTTCACCCTATCGGTCCGTGAGTGTCGCGTAGTCTTACATTGTAACACACACTGGCTAATACCTGCCTCTGCCTCACAGAGAGGAGGGTGTCTTGTCAAGTCTTGACATGCTATCGGCCGTCATTGGACACTCGTATGTGTGGAAGGCTGATTATGCTACAGACATCCAAAAGTACGCGGCTGGCGAATTCTCCGCGATGTGGCCATTCACGTCACCACGAATGGCTTCTTTGCACCGGCCGAAGTCTCAGGATGTGCCACTTCTTCTGCTCATCCCAATCCTGTGGGTACTGTTCCGTCGGCGAGGAAACTCATAAAAGCTGCTTGAACTGCTCTCTTTCTCTACTGTGAATAGCGCATTGAATTTCACAATGGTTTCCTTCCCTCTCATCTCGCTTCTCTTTGCTGCCTCAGCTGTGATTGCTGCCCCCGGCGATACCGAGCGTTCATGCAATATTGCCAACGCCAAATTGAAACTTCCGAGCAATCAAACTGCGCTCGCCAACCCCTCCTTTCCTCCAGCCTTTATCACCGTCGCGTTAGGTATTCAAAATTACACCTGCACCGACGCCGGCACGTTCACGTATGTCCTTCATTTAAATACACCATGTTCATTTTCGCTCGTTACCAATATTTTTATGGCTATTAGGAGCGTAGGAGCCGTTGCTGAACTATTCGATATCTCTTGTCTGGTTGGGACAAGCTCGTTCGACACCATCCAGAACAGCTTCTTCACCATTTGGAGCCAAGTCCCCAATAACGTGCCCGCCTCCTCCATTGTCGCGCTCTTCGGTTTAGATCGAACGCTTACAAACGTCGGGGAGCATTATTTCATCACGAACCCCATCACCGGCAGCGGTCTGAGCCCCAAGTGGGACTTCACGTCGCGAGGAGCCACGAGCGGCAACCGAAACGCGTTTGTCGTTGGTGCGAGGGCTGGCGGCATCCCCGCCCCTACAGGACCTCAAGACGTCGATTGGCTCCAGCTCACCAATGTGCAAGGCCGCCTGGCTGACGAGGTCTTTAGGGTGGATACGCGTGGAGGACAGCCCCCAGCCTCGGTACGTTTAGCCTGTGTTCACCGTCTCCCTACACTACCGCTAACCACAATTTTCTCAGTGTACTCCTGGTTCACCCCTCATCACCGTCAAGTATACGTCGAAGTATTGTAAGATCCATCGTTTTTTCGGGAGTTTTGTGTTCACTCTGGTCCTAGGGCTCTTTGGTGGTTCTCTCTGATGGTCGACGGGTTCCGAATGAAGTCCCCACTCCTTTTTCCCGCGTGTTGAATGCGCTGTATATGACGCCTTTCGCTTAGTGTCGATGAATACGAAGTTGTTTGGTTCTGTTGGACATAAGCCGAGCGAAGCGTCACACTTAGCATGAGATCAAGCGACTAATATTCAACAAGGCGTAGAATGTCCCAGGATACTCGTTGTCATATCTGACATTACGAAAATGGTTGACTTTCGACACAACTTAGGCCAAGAACTGCGGGGCATCCATGTGGACCCTGAACAGGAGGATCGCTGCTGCAGCTATCGGTGCCGAAGTTGATCATGATTTTGCCTGTCAAAACCAAACCTTCAATTTTAAGAATAATCACTACTCTCCGACGTGATCGATAGTTAGGACCGTTTATTCCAACACGGCGCATCCACAGTGCATTCAAATAGACTCGAACTCTGTAAAGCGAGCATTTCCATGGGTGTCGTACCTCATAAGTTGGATCATTATGAGACTATATATGGCCACCATTGATCAATCGCCCTCCATCAGTCCCTCTCAGCGTTCTTCGTGTCCGTAAAACCTGCACCTGTACGGGGCGGTGAATGGTATCCGTCTCGATCGATCAAACAATAAAGACAGATGCGTGGAAGAGACGTTTGACGTTTATTGAAGCGAAATCACAAAGAACGAAACATTGAAGCAGTCCGAGTTTTATAGCCACCGACATATCAGCCGAGCGCACGTGGCACCGGGTCCGAAGCAACCTCCGACTTGTTTGCACGGCGATTCTCAACCCTCACACACAATTCCACGGCTTTGCTTCCAATGCTTCAGCAAAGTATTATCCCATACATAACAACCATAGAACCGAGAAATCCTTCCGCAATCCATTTCTTGGTCACCTATACCGATTTTCTTGACGGATTGAATGCTGTGGCCAATGGTTGACCGTCAAACGTCCTCCGCTGTAGACTACGTCCTTCTGCAGTCCATCTGTATGTCAGGACACCGCGATCGACCCCGATCATCCAGAGAAACACCGGCCTCCGAAAACGATCGAAGTGACAATTCAATATGTCGGCGTCCGGCGTATAAGAGCAGCTAGTTTGACGAGCAGCAGAAGTACACACCAGCTTCATTCGCTTTCTTTCTTCCTGTCTCTCTCCTTGGGTTTTCATTCGATTCGCGTTCTCAATCCTCATTTCGCACCAGACCACATCGGAATCCAAGTCCACCACCCTCTTTAACAAAAATGCAATTCAACACCATCACGTCACTTTTCATCATCATTGGGTGTGCTTTTATTAGCACGACGCTTTCAGCTCCGGTTCCAAACCCGCAGTTGGGCCAAGGTACGTCCGCATTGCAGGGTATCATACGGGGTTGCTCATATTAGTCTACTATCTGATCTAATGGTTGGCTCAGTTACCAGCTTGGTTGGAAGTACAACAGGATCACTCGTTGGCGCAGTGGGAGGTGTTGCCGGCAGCCTCACAGGGTCACTCAGTGGCATCACGAACGTGCTCAGCACCCTTCCCATACCCGTCCCCGCCCTCGCTAACATCATCACCTCCGTCACCGTCGTGGTGTCCCCATTCCTCGCAACGATACCCTCCGCCCTCGTTGGCCAAGTCGTCCAGCTCATCACCACACTCCTCGTCACACTCCCCACCGAGCTATTGGGGACTGTGGGAGACATCCTAGCCGTCGTGTTCTCCATAGTCACCGGAGGCGTTACGAGCGTCGACGTTGCTCTAGCATCCTTAGACGGACTCGTTCCTGCTGCCGCTCTAGGACCTGCGCGAGAGCTCCTACAGGGTCTGCTCACCCTCACAACCGCGTAAAACCCTCGCCATCGGTGCGTCGCTCTGGAGCGGCGTTTGTATTTGGCCTTGTCATCTTTCACATAGTGCTTTGCTCTCTTCGTTGAAACTCTTGCTATGTATCTCTATCCAGGCTACCAAGTAGTAACTCGTATTTGTTCTTCCGCCTCGTAATCCCGTAATTACGCTAGTTGATGGTTACCACTGTATCTTAGACCCACACCTTACTAAGCTTGTATTCGAATTAATTCCCGTGGCACTAAATATATGAGAACAACATACATGCTCTGCACTTCACCACTTGACGAGAGTACGCAAAATCCAAGGAATTTGGAGTCCAAGGAGAGATTACAATTGAGCAAATAAAGAGTGACTTGACAAGGATTGGCTATGGCTACAGTACGGTATATATGCTCGCCACTTGAATTTTACAGAGTGAGCACGCCCGACGCTACATATTCACGTCTTTATCTCCGCAAATTCTGGACAAGGGATCAGCGATCTCGTTCATCGTTTTTCAGAGGTAAAGGTATTTACCTTCGATAGATCTTCGCTTGCGAGGCAATCACAAGATGCCCAGGAGACGCCCACCCGGAGCGAGCGTGTTCTTCACCCCAGTGAGCGCATGGCCAACGGTAGTCTTGGCATTGTCGAGGGTGTGATCGAGTGTGCCCTTGACATGAGTGAGGGCGTGGTCGACTGTGCCCTGGACATCCGTGAGGAGGGGGCCGACGACGCCCTTTGTGCCCGGCGCGAGGACA